CTGAGAAAATCCGACATAACAAAGTTGATTCATCTTAGTGACTGATATAATATGTCGGATTGTTGCCGGAAAATCATACCTTGACATTTCTTGCCATGAAAAATCCCAATATTCCTTTTGACTTGAATCAAGATGCTTATGTTTCTTTGAATATGTACTGCCTCTACTGTTCCCTAGCCAAACATCATACCCATTATCAGCCAAAATATATCCTAAACTCTGATTTCTTAAATTCATCACCCATGCATGTGATGAGTCCAGTAACCCATGTTGCAATAAAACAACTTTACGCTCTAAAATAAACAAAGATAATAATGTTTTTTATTTTGTTCCTGAAACATCACTATCAGAACTTACTTTGATAAGTTGACTGGTTCTTGTAAAATCTAATTAAACACAGAATGTAATGGTCGCCCGTAGTAACCTCATGTTCTTCAACTAAATAACCTTGTTTCCGTATTATTTCACTCTTTACAAACAATTTAAGTTACTCGTCAAAATAACTACTTACAATATTCATATATATCTCAGGGTCAGTTTTAATATCGAATAAAGAATCAACTGGATTTAAATGAAAACACAAAGAACTTATACATCCCATTAAAAATATACAAATCATAATATTTGTAGATGAATACCTAAGAAAAGTTCGTTGTCACCAAAACACGTTTTACTTACATTTTAGTAGAAACTACTCATATGTTTGTGATCGTACAAAGCACACCTAAAAACAATATAATAAGGCCTGATATGTTGACTTTGTACTCAAAAAACTTAAGAGGTAAGGCGCATCTAATAATTATATTCATTTTGAAGTAACCTTTACATTGCGCGTGTACCGTGGTCTGACCAAAGCGATGAAAAAAACCTGTGTGGTATGTTTAAAATTTGTAAATACTTTTCTCTGTCAACTTCAGATCTTACGGTTGGTTGTTTGATTTTTTTAAAAATTAATAATGAATTGTTTTAATTAGTTAGGCAATTATTGACGACAGAGCAGCATATTAGTAATAATTATTACTACTACATATATACATACATAAATGATGGTTAAAATGAGATGTCAGCTCACTTTAGAACAATCATCTAAAAGAATCTACATTTTTGTGTTAAGGAAAAACAATTGAAAACCACTTTTTCTTTGCAGAGTGCTGAGTCCCATCGGAAGAGTACCAAAACATAAGCAATTTTTATGAAAGACATTCCGTTCACCGAATTTCTATATCTGCCATCAACATAAACGATGACTGATGAAAAATGAATCAAGTAATAACATGTATAAAAATATTCCTAAATACGTGTTTGAGTAATTTAATTGACCAATATGTACAGTAGTTACCAACCATCAACTTATAACAGGAAATGAGCAAGCATGTTCGGGATGCGGTTTTCCCCCTCGAAATGTAAAATGTTGCTTCAAGATTGGGTTTCATCGGCACCTGAACTAGTGATAGGGAGTGAAGTAGTCGAACGTGTAGACCGCTTCACTTATCTTGGGAGTCTCATCAGTGCTGATGGCATGGTGACTGACGAAATCTCGTCACGGATACAGAAGGCTCGATTGGCTTTTGCCAACCTGCGTCACTTATGGCGTAGGCGAGATATCCGTTTGCTGACTAAAGGACGAGTGTACTGCGCAGTGGTTCGCTCCGTTCTCCTATATGGCTGTGAAACATGGCCAATGAGAGTAGAAGATACTCGTCGGTTATTGGTTTTCGATCATAGATGTCTTCGAAGCATTGCTCGTATATCGTGGGACACCCGAGTGAGCAACGCTGTTATTAGGAAACGGGTACTAGGCAAGAATGGCAGATCAATCGATGAAGTGGTGAAACTTCATCAGTTGAGGTGGTTGGGACACGTGTTGCGTATGCCTAACCAGCGACTGCCTCGTCGAGCTTTGTTTTGTAGGTAGGAGTAGGTTGGAAGAAAGTTAGGGGCGGCCAAACCAAAACATGGCAGAAATCCATCAAGTCATTGACGAGTGGACTTAGCCACGTCGGTAATTGTCGACTACCTGGTTGGGGTCCGCGAGATGATAATAATCGATGGCTAGAGACCTTGAATGATATGGCTCAAAATCGTTCGCAATGGCGCCGGTGCATTTATTCTTTGTGTTCTCTCAAACCCTAATCTTCTGGGTTCTTCAACACCTCTAGCTTTTACTTTCTAAACTTATCTCATTGAATCATACTTCGTGAATAATATCTTCTAATTCTAACCTCTCCGATTACTTCTAATACCTTTACTACCTCTTCTACTATTGGATTTGAATTGACAATTATATCTCTGTGCTGATGTGGTATGGCGACATGAACTGATGTACTTACGTACGAAGTTCTACGTTGCAACTGACTGACTGACTGAACAGGAAATGAGTGTATACAGATGGACTGATATAATACAAACATTGATATAACACCGAAATAAGATCTCGACGCAGTGGAATTGAATGCTTAATTACGCATGCACAGAGTTACAGACGATCGCATGATGGACAACTAACGGAAGGAAAATTAGACTTATCCGAATACCATTGTATTAGAATGAAAAAAAAAGTCTACGTCAATTCGCCACTGTCTATGAAGAAGCCATATAGGAAATGAGATAGAATAAGAATAAGAAGAATAGTTAAATACATGATAACACTAAAAGATTTAGAGAAAGAGATAGGATGAACGACAGACAGTTATAAAAGTGAAAATAAAATGAAGAGACAAAAATATACAGAGATAAAAGTTATCTTACGTTATCTGCATTTGGAGGAGTGAAGAGTAATGATGCATTACATATTTTAGATTTTAATTTCAAGTGCATGTATGCACACAGGAGTTAAACTGCTAGTGGTCGAAATTTACATGCATTACTGACCAACAGTTCGAACACATAGAAACCACTTTAATCGTCTAAGCATTTCGGTAACTAACACCCAGTATGAAAACATCTATGTACACACTGGAGAATACATATTCGTTGTCCTAATCACGGTCAGATGCACATTTCTGTCCATGATTCATAGTTATTATCATTGGATTAAAATAATTCCATTCCACTGGAAACTTCAAACCAAATACATCATGAGAAGATCAGATGAAATTATTTTTAATCATATTCTTGTCACAATCCAGCAGTCACTGAAATTACTCAAGTATATTGCCTAATACCGATCAAATCCACTCCTATCAAACATATACTTCTAAGCGCCTAGTGAAATTGTCCTGGTTTAAGAGGTTACCCGAATGAGAAAAAACATAATTCTGACTAGTATCTTTGATTGTGGAAATTGTCACGTGTTAACACAACCCACCTAACTGAATTTACAATTTGACAGTGCTAGTTTTAGCAAACTTCAACAAGTTGTGATCGATAAATATCTACCCATCCATACTGGTAAGCAGGAGCCCAAGCAAACCGATAGTCAAAGTAAACGTATACTAGAACATTGATGACTTCTTAAAGTCCATTCTGTTATTGTCTACATATGCACATTAGTGTCCACGATTGTGTCATATTGAAACTTTGCTCTGACGAATTCTAACTTCCTAATGCTTTTACAATTAACATTCAGTTGGTTGTATCTGTCAAAATTAAGTCATCCCAAACGAATGTATCCATTAGGCTTACGAAAAATCACACACACTGTTAGCTCACTATTAAGCAGTCTTCCATCGAAAACCATTAACTCCAATGATAGACGCACGGCTTTGTACGTCCAAAGAATAGTGAGATTTCAAGCAATCAGTAAGTACAGCTGTTAGAGATCTTGAACGACAAGGATCAAAATCGTTTTCGATGTCGGTGTCATCCACTCTTCGTGTTCGCTAAACTTTTGGATTCCTCATTGCCTACACCTTTCGCTAATTATCCTACTGAATTACACCTCTAGGATATATTCGAAACATAATCTTCTGAATTACTGCTAATACTTTTATTATCTCTACCACCATGGGGTTCGAAATGACAGTTGCGTCTGTGCCAAACTGATATACGTACGTACGAAGTCCTACGTTGTAACTGACCGAGATTGCACGCCAAACCGTAAGTAGTGACTCACTGGGAAGCCGCGCTACGTTTCTATTCAGGTTGGACGGACCCATCATCACGCTTAATTGCATAGTTTAGGTTTTTACAGCCTGGACACTTACGACGATTGTTTCGTAGGCGGTACGAAATCAATGGTGAGAATTCGAGTTCGCGGTGTACAGTTAATTTTACTACGTCACGTGCCTGCCGACCATTTCACGACTTCTGGAGCCAGAGGCAGTCGTACCTTATCCCATACATAGATTCATGTGTCAATGAGAACTGAGTTCTACTGATAGACATTATTCAGACCTACGTCAGATAACCGACAGGTAAGAAGCGCTGAAATTACGAGCATAGCAACGTTTATTTTATAAGGCACAAATTACAAAATTGTCACTCATTAAAAAGACGTCTAACCGCAAATCGAGATCTGGACAACCAGTAAGCGGCTTTCACGTTTGCCAAGGAAAATTTGAACCGTATGACTGCATGTAGTAAGAATCCCAGCTTGCCTACAAATTAATTATGAAAATCCTTTTGAAATAAAAGACTTCGAAAAGCAAAAACGACTTCGACCTACGATGAGGAAAAGAAGAACTGTCTACCGATTACACGAAGTCATGCCGACATATTTATAACCTCACAGCGCCGCCCATCTTGGATTAACTAATTGTACTTCGACTAGCGTTTTAAGTACAATCAAACATAACAGGTTAAAAAGCCACTAGATGATGAGCTCTTGAAATAACGTACGGACTTTGTTAATAACTACTCAGTGAAGAAACATATCGCCTCTGTGAAACCAGTAGTTTTGGTCGCTTTTAAAAGGAGATTCCCACCTACGCGACTAAGCACGCGGGAGATTTTAGGGGGTATTTAATTCAACTATGAGTACAGCAAAGAATTCGCATGGAATAATACCAAACGTATCATTGTTCAGATAGTGTTTAAATCATAGATTGAGAACATCCAATCAACAGCGTAACCTGAAAGTGTATTTAAAAACGAAGACATAAAACGGGAATAGTCACACGGCATGAACTTATACTTCAGGAAAAGGGAGCAAAGTTTATTGTTGGGGAATAGGAGGATGGCCAGGAGCAGGAGGCATGCTAGGAGCACATTGTATTGGTTGTGTGCCTGGCATAGTCTGTCCCGGAGCTCCAGCACCAGGTTGACCTGGTGCTCCTGTTTGCTGCTGTTGCCATGCTTGCCAAGCTTGCCATTGTTGCCATTGCTGCCACTGAGCGTAATCGTACTGAAAACGAAAAGAATGGTGGGAGCCAAAACGGAACCCGTCAGAATGAGTCACGTAAAATGAACTAAACACAATGAAACAATTTACAAAATCTGCTAACTGCCCTGTCAGATAAGCAGGCTAATTGCGCACCATAGCTTAACGTTACTAAAAGGACCAAAGAAGCCTTACCTGTCCGGCAGCAGTTGGCTGTGCTTGAACAGGAACTTGGGAAGGTGCAGCCGCAGGGGCGCCGGATTGAGCAGCCTGTACGTGGCCTGCGGGAACTGGCGCAGCTGACTGAACAGCAGCTACCGGGGGTTGTTGAGCCTGTCGTAAAATGGCATCGGCACACTCATGCATTCCTTGACGTCTGTAGTATTCAGCCCACGCTGCACTGTAGTCGGGTTGACCAGTGTACGGGTTGTACGTGGGAGCTGGCATCGCAGCTGCTGCAACAGCGTTTTGTGCACAGTTGGCCATAGTCCACGGATCTGGAACAAATAAACACAAAAATACGTAAAACATTAGTGTCAGCCATAACCGATTCAGATGAAAGACCGCCCCGGTACCAGTCTATCTTATTTTTTGACTAAATTTATCGAGTGGCTTTTCATCTCCAGTAATGTGGAGCTGTCGAAAACCCAGTACAATATCCTATAGTGAAACCAAAGCCAACAGTAGTGTCAATCACCAGCAGTTTCGAATGCTAATTTATCAAATAAAAAAAATCGAGTACAACGTAAAGATGGGAATCGTCATTTAGGCTTACAGCTGGTGTTGTTCGTTAACTTCGAGCCGTCGATATCAGTTTGAGCCAGTCACTCTCAATGCCCAATAATCGATTGTCGCTGCTTGGTTGAGTGCAGCTAGCCCTGACTGCGACACAGCTTCTAAAGCTGTCAGTCAGTCAACAAAAAACATTAAGCTTACCTGCATGTGGGTAGCCGTATTGACCCCAAGGCCCAGGAACAGCACCGGTGGTAGTAGCTGGTCGAGTCATGGGAATACCAGCACGCTCAGAGATCATTCTTTAAACGCCATTTGACATCCAGAGAAATGAGTACCAGGGAATAGTGAATATACGAATGGCACGAATAGGCATATACCGAAATGATAAAGACAGTAACAAATAGAAAAATATTGCTTTGATAATCGGAGTAAGCACATACACGTTTAATCAATTACACAAAAGGCTTACATGGATCTGATACTATCACAAACAAAGAGCATTACCTTATGGCTTGTTCTATTTCTTGTCGGTTACCGCGGACATTAAATATTTTGATGGAGGGATCCGGTGGTGGTTCTTTAGATATTTCGACGTGGGCTCCACTGACGCGGCAAATCTCTTTTATCGACTCCCCACCTTTACCAATTACAAGTCCTGCTTTCTCAGCCGGAACAGCATATTGCGATGTTTCCTGACCATCGTATCCATAGTGCATGGATCCACCAGGGCGCTAAGAAGTATTAATAAAGTATTTTCATCTTACATCTCGGGAATTAATTAGAACAAGAACAGCTTGGCGTGCCTTTTCTACTCGCGAAGGTTCTCCAGATATTCTAAGTGGTTTGTCCTCAGGAGTTGGATTGTTTGATTGTTGGATAAGAACCATTTTGACTCCATTTTCTTCTTGAAGATTTTTGATCGTCTCACCATTTTTACCGATCACTAAACCTGCCTTCAGACCGGGAACCATCATTTCGATGGTTGTTATACTGCCAGTCGAATTATATGCTGGGGTAGTTGGTGTGCCGTTTTTACCAGCACGCTCTATTATATCACCAATCATTTGTTTCGCATGGCTAAAAATAAACTTGTATGTCCAGAACTTACTCAATTTGCTGCGGTGTCCCAGTTAACGTTACAGTACGTTCAGGAGTGCCGGCTAAGTCGTCAGAAAAGTTTATTGAACTAATTACCTTGGGAAATTTGAACTTTGCATTGTGTGTCATTTTGAAGTTGTGTTATTTGCTCCCCACCTTTTCCTATAACTGCACAATAGGATAACTACATATGATGATAACTGACCTAGGCCAACATATCTATCAGGGATAGCAGTTTCAGTAGTAACAACTCTTGAACCAACGGAATTGTTATTTGAGGTTGGCGTAAGATTTGCAGCTGGTTGTGAACCACCCAACTTCTGATTTATTCGAGCGGCAGCCTCAGCAGCAGCAGCTACTTTGTCCATTACTAAGGGGCGTTTTTCAGTTGTAGCAAAATTGTTATTTTCGTCCTGAGCAGGTCTTTTCATACCAGCTATGCCACCATTGGTTGTGGACCCGTCATCGGACATAGAAAATTTTGAAACAATCTAAGCAGAAAGTGAATGAATACAGGAGCGAATGCAAACCACCTGCTTTGCTCGCTCGATGGCGCTAGCATAAGCCTCGTTACCTGCCATGGGGGATACAATATGGCTGTCTTTAAAAGTAGTCCATTAAAAGAAATTGTCAAATTCTGACAGCTATCCTATTCTGTAGGCTTTTTGGATGATTGTTACTTAAAATAATCTCAAATTTTGAAATCATACAGAGAATAAATGTTCTTTTACGGTACGTTATCTCAGCCACTCAATTTAAGAGTAGAATTATATGGGGAGTTTTAATCTAAATTTGACTGAAAGCATTGATAGCAGTTTCGCACCGAGTAACTGTAAGACAATAGGTAGAAATATGCATTTATGAGTCTCAGTGATTGAAATCTAGGCAGTCTGGTCCAAGCGTTATCATACGTAACACATGTCCCAACCACCTCAATAATTTCTTAACACCAGCTT